TTGCCGTGTTGGCGGCAGCTGACCACGTTGCTGCTGCCGTGGCGCCTGAAGGAAAGTTGCACAAGGTACGTTGCTGCCGCGTGAAAGCTGCATGTTTCATTATACTGTGATTTGGGAAACCATTGCGCAATGACAATGTCTATTCTGCTTCTTCACCCAAGACATCGGCCGGCCAGCTTCGCCTACGGGGTTTCCAACCGGCTGGTGTTGAGGGTTTCCCATTGCTTCATTTAGAATCGCTCCGCGTCCGCCTTTTGTATTTTCTTGTATTGCGTTCATACCCATTGTTGCAACTGCTTCCTGTGTCTTCATGGCAAGATGTATCTTCACTACCTTCTTGGACTGTCTGCACTCGACCTAACACAACCGAACAAGCGCGATCTCGCATACTCGCCGCCCGTCTACCCTTCACCATGGTCAGACCCCAACGCCGATGGCTGGGCTGATGCCTACGCCAAAGCCAAAGACTTCGTCTCCCAATTGACCCTTCTCGAGAAGGTCAACTTGACGACTGGGGTTGGGTAAGTTGCTCGTCACCTCGTAAAAAGCACCCGACTAACATTGGGACAGATGGCAAGGAGACCTGTGCGTCGGAAACGTTGGCTCAGTTCCTCGACTCGGCCTTCGCGGTCTCTGCATGCAGGACGGCCCTGTCGGCATCCGTTTCAGCGACTACAACTCCGTCTTCCCCTCGGGCCAAACCGTCGCCGCCACCTGGGACCGAAGCCTCGTCTACCGCAGAGCCGAGGCCATTGGCGCCGAACAGAGAGCCAAGGGTGTCGATGTTGTTCTCGCCCCCGTCGCTGGACCCATTGGCCGTGCCCCTACGGGAGGCCGCAACTGGGAAGGTTTCTCTGTTGACCCGTACTTGACTGGTGTCTTCATGGCCGAGAGTGTCAAGGGAATTCAGGATGCTGGTGCCATCGCCTGCGCCAAGCATTTCGTCGGCAACGAGCAAGAACACTTCAGACAAGCTCCCGAGGCCATTGGCTACGGATACAACATCACCGAGTCGCTTTCTTCCAATATTGACGACAAGACCATGCATGAGCTTTATATGTGGCCCTTCGCCGATGCCATCCGCGCCGGGGTTGGTTCCATCATGTGCTCTTACAACCAGGTCAACAACTCATACGGCTGCCAAAACTCGAAGCTTCTCAATGGTCTTCTCAAGGGAGAATTGGGCTTTTCTGGATTCATCATGTCGGATTGGCAAGGTATTTTGAAACCTCTTGGGGTGATGTCGTGAATCAAAAAATGCTAACTGTCGTATAGCGCAACACGCTGGTGCTGCTACGGCAGTTGCTGGTTTGGACATGAGCATGCCCGGCGACACCCTCTTCAACACCGGCCAAACCTTCTGGGGAACCAACCTGACCATTGCCGTGCTCAATGGCACCGTTCCCGAGTACCGTCTCGACGACATGGCTCTCCGCATCATGGCCGCCTTCTTCAAGGTTGGCATGAAGGTTGATGAGGTGCCCGAAATCAACTTCTCTTCCTGGACCCTCGACACTGTCGGCCCTCTGCAGTACTACGCCAAGGAGAACGTTCAAACAATTAACCAGCACATTGACGTACGCAAGGGTAAGGAGCACGCCAACTTGATTCGTGAGATCGGCGCCAAGGCCACGGTGTTGCTCAAGAACTCTGGATCTCTGCCCTTGAAAAAGCCCAAGTTCCTAGCCGTCATTGGAGAGGACGCGGGCCCGAACCCCAAGGGGCCCAACGGCTGCAGCGATCGCGGATGCAACGACGGTACCCTCGGTGCCTCCTGGGGATCTGGCAGTTCCAACTACCCGTACCTCATTACTCCGGACCAGGCCCTGCAGAGGCGCGCTCTCGATGACGGTACCCGCTACGAGAGCATTCTCAGCAACTACGAAACCGCTGCCACCACTGCCCTGATCACCCAACCCGGCGCCACTGCCATCGTCTTTGTCAACGCCAACTCGGGTGAGGGCTACATCAATGTTGGTGGAAACGAGGGTGATCGCCAGAACCTGACCCTGTGGAACTCTGGTGACGAGCTCATCAAGAACGTCTCGTCCATCAACAACAACACCATCGTTGTCATCCACTCCAGCGGACCCGTCCTCGTCACCGATTGGTACGAGAACCCCAACGTTACTGCTATTCTCTGGGCTGGACTTCCTGGGCAGGAATCTGGCAATTCGATCACGGACGTCCTCTACGGCGATGTCAACCCCGCCGGCAAGTCTCCCTTCACCTGGGGTGCGACCCGCGAGAGCTACGGCGCCGACGTTCTGTACAAGCCCAACAACGGCGAGGGAGCTCCTCAGGATGATTTCACCGAGGGCGTCTTCATTGACTACCGCTTTTTCGACCGGGCTACATCTGGCAGCAACGGAACTTATGGTAACTCCAGCAACTCTGCGCCAATCTACCCCTTCGGCTTCGGTCTGTCTTACACCAAGTTCGAGTTCTCCAACCTGGCTGTGGCCAAGAAGGATGCAGGAGAGTACAGGCCTACGACTGGTGAGACGGCGGCTGCGCCAACCTTTGGTAACCACAGCACCGACCTTAACGACTACGTCTTCCCCAAGGACCAGGCTCGCTACATCTACAAGTTCATCTACCCGTGGCTGAACGTGTCGAACGCCCAAGAGGCCTCTCAGGACCCACACTTTGGCAAGACGGCGGAGGAGTTCCTGCCGCCCAACGCCCTGGACAGTAACCCGCAGGCCAAGCACCCTGCCTCGGGTAGCCCCGGTGGTAACCCGCAGCTTTGGGATATCCTCTACACCGTCACCGCGACTGTGACCAACAAAGGCGACATTGCCGGTGACGAGGTTGCTCAGCTGTACGTGTCGCTCGGCGGTCCTGACGACCCGGTCAAGGTGCTGCGCGGTTTTGAGCGCATCCCCCTTGCCCCCGGCGCATCGGCCACGTTTACAGCCGAGATAACAAGACGCGACCTGAGCAACTGGGACGTTGCCAGCCAGAACTGGGTGATCAGCCAGTACCCGAAGAAGGTCTGGGTGGGCAGCTCGTCGAGAGACCTGCCCCTGAGTGCGTCGCTTTAGATTATACAGCAATGCGCCTTGTTGGATAGGACGGCGCTCTAGTTAGTAGTCTTAATCAAGAATTGTTAGTCTTCACCGCTGCCCTAGGCTCTTTCGTCGTCTGTGTCATACGAGGTGTTATCCTCGGTTGTCTGGACGTGTTTCCTCTGGACCGAGAGGTCGCAAATTCGTTTATCCGTGCGGTCAAGGTAGTATGATAAGAAAAATGTTTCGCGATCGCTGTCGGCAATCATTAATGTTTATTAAATCGGGACGGGTAAGGAGACTCAGATCAAGGATGCAATGCGACTGACTCGAGCAACATGACGCAACAGGGCCACAGTTCGGCCCAATTCCGCATTCCCAGAAGATTTGTTTCCTGCACACGATGAGATGACGTTGATGACTCCTTGATCAAAATGGTCACCTATTTTCCGTGTTTTTTTGTCGGTCTCGGCCGAATGCTCAGCTTGAGCGGGAGGACAGCCGAGTTGAGACATTTTGACGAGGCATTTCGAGAACCAACTGGCCCACCTGGAAAGTGCTTACCTTAGCTCACACCGGGAGACCGAGATCCCACCGGCCGTGGTGATGGGCGTGTTGGGCTGGGACGTGGCTCAAGCCAGTGGATGTGAAGGTATTGCCGGCCCCACTCTGACGCCACCTGCCTGTAAGAGCTGGTCAGTGCTTTTTTGTCGAGTCCAATCAGAGTCTGTCGCATGTGTGTACGTAAGCAAGCCACACCGAGAGAGGCAGAGACAGTTGGACAGAAAACAGCGACTGCAGGAAGAAAAAAACAGTCTGGAAGCCCACCCAACATCGGTCAAAAGTGGGGTAACAGATGCGGGTCCAGGTGGACCTTGCCTGATTGGGTGCTAGCGCGGTGATCCGAGGCCGCTCTGGTCTTTTGGTGATCTTTGCCACGCTTCTGTTGTGTTTGGACTGGCAGGATGACTGGCCAGTCGGTGCCCGGAAGTCTTGATGAGTAAGGCCCTTGGAGTGGTTTTCTGCCTGCTCATGGATAAGAAAAGAGAAGAAAAATCAAGGGTCCCGGGCTGCCGAAGAACAATTGGCAGCAGCGAACAAGCCACACACCCAAAAGTACGAATAGACGAGACCGAACGCCCCCGCATCTCCCGTGTCTCCAACTCCTTCCTTGCCTTCCTTACCTAACCTCCGTCTTCAATCCTCAGGTCGCTCTCTCCTTCATTCACCACTGCTCCATACCCATAGCCGGCGCCTGGCCCGAAGCCTCCAGCCTCTTCTTCCTCACCTGAATCTTTTCAATTCTTCGTCGTCTTGCTTGTACAGTGCCTCCTCGCCATCTGGCCGTCGACTTCGCCATCACCTCGGACATTCGGCATTCACAGCTCCAACCAACAGCACAGCCAACCACCAACCTTACCCGCGGCCGTGGTCCAGTTATCCGTACCCCCTCTCGAAAGGAGCCGCATGCGCCGCTGAGGGGGCCGCAACAAGCTTCCGCATAACCAGTCTCACTCCTCACAACGGCCTTCACCACACCAGAGCTTTAACCCTCCGCCGCGTCGTTACTCAAAGCCCGACCGCGTCCAACCGGTCATATCGGGATCCCGAACAACCACCAGACCACGCCGCCAGCGCCGAACCTCGTCCGCATCCAGATCCCGTAAAACCCCCCCCCGCCCGGTCCTCGCGAGCAACCAAGCCAGTCGCGCCCCCCGTCCGTCTCATTGGCAACCCGCCTGCCACAACCCCCCGAACCCGTGAAGCTGTGGACGGGAAGGGGGTTCCACCTTTTGAGCAGCCTGCAGCCTCGCGGGCCCTGGTCCCAATCTGATTGATGAGCGATTGCCACTGCCGGGTGCCACTGTCACTTCTACAACACCGTCGCCCGCCGTCCGTCCGCCCGTCCTCGCCGCCGCTGCCAGACCAAATCCCGAGACCCGCGATCCCCGGATCTGATGCAAGTTCGCCCGACCTACAGACTTCATCATGCCTGAGTCGAACACGACCCCGGACCAGGTCTCCATTGACGACCTGACCCCCGAGGAGGCCAACCGTATCATCCACTCTCATCGCAAAGTCCGCTATGGTGAGTGAGAACCACCATGAGTGACCTCAGCGCTCGCTACCACTCATCCCGTGCTTCACATTTACTCATAACCACTCACTTCACATTCATTGCAGCCCTCGTAGATCAGAGACTGACTCCATCACAGGCACAGCATGCTGGCCTTGCCGCCAGCGCAAGGTGAAATGCGATAACAAGCAACCATGCGAGAACTGCGTCAAGCGCGAGCATCCACAACTGTGCTCCTACAAACCTAACCGTACCGCCTCTCACGGAACCAAACCCGCCGCCTCCGTCACCACCGAGACGGGCAGCAACGCGGGCGGAAACACCACCACCACCGTAGCCAACAATCGCAAAAGGCCTCACTCGCCCGAGGGCCCCGCTGCCGACGTCGCCGCCGGCGCTCCTCCAGCCAAGGTGGAGGCCGGAGCCGCGACCTGGCCTCGTACGGCCATTGGTAAGTCCTCTGCCTCAGCCTCAGCCTCAGCACCGTCTGCATTAAACCCTGGTGGCTTGGGACCTGCGCCGTCGTTCTCCTTCTTGGGCAGCGGTTCGTATACTAATCCAGCGCCCCGCGCGGGCGGAGCAGTCGCGGCAAGCGTGGACGAGACCGAAGCCCCCGAGGCCGTCACGCGCTACCTTGGCCAAAACAGTATCCCGTCTCTTCTGCGAGAGCAGTCGGCTGCTAATGAGCTGCAGGAGGGCGTCGACATCCGTCAGGACATGAGATCTATTCTGGGCCTCGACACGTCGGCGCCCTTCCCGCTCATGTCTTCAAAACACCTCGACAGCCTAACGCGAGAGATCTCGGCCGAGCTGCCGTCGGATCGAGAGGTGATGAAGTATGTATCAAAGTCTCTTATCAAAGACGCATACTGACGTTCACAGGCTATTCCGCACATACAAGGAAACACCACAGCAGTTCTGGGGCTTCGTCGTCGACATTGACGACCTCGAGTCTAAGCTCATGGTTTACCTAGAAGACAGGGCACGTAACGCGAGCAACGCAACGAGAACGCCCAAGCCGGTATCGGCATCATGGCTGGCCATACTCTTTGCGCTCCTCGCCGTGGGTTCGCAGTACCACGACTCCCCTTATCACATCCGCACACGAGACTCGCAAAAATACATACAAATTTCGTTCCACTTCCTGAGGCTAGGGAATTTCCTGCTACGGTTAGTCACTTTCTCGGCTGATCAGCCCCCGTCGGAAAGATAGGGCCCTCCACTGACACGGCCCAAAATTTCATAGACCCACATTCGACTCCATTCAAGCTCTACTACTAACCAGTTTTGTTCTTCTCAATGACATGAAGGCAGAGGCGTCGTGGGCTCTGCTGGGTCTGACATGTCGTCTTGCACAGTCCCTTGGCCTTCACCGGCCAAATCCCTCAGATGGAAGAGATAGCGCTCGTAATGATGGACAGTCAAAGGAGATGATCCGCCGCAAACTGTGGTGGACGTGCGTATGGCACGATACCCTCACATCACTGTCCTTTGACCGCCCGCCGATGACAAACATCCCCTGCTGCCCCATCCCAACGGTCCAGCACACGATGGCCGGCGAATACGGCTACCTCGACACAATGTACCACCTCTGCGAGATCATCTCTCGCCGCCTTAATCCCGATGTCGCCACCGCCGTGTCTTACGAGCAAATGGTCGAAAACTGCGAAGCCGTGGAGAACCTCCGCAACATGGTCGCCCCGAACATCCGCAAGAAGGAGCAGTGCAAGACGGCCATCGATCGCCTCCAGCACTACGCCGTCCGCCTTCACACCTCCTTCGTCATCTCCGTCTGCTGCAGACCGGCACTGCGACGGGACTGCACCAAGCTCACGCCCGAGCAGAAGCGCCACCTGTCCGACAAGTGCCAACATAACCTTGCCGAGACGGTGCGCATGTTTCTCGCCATGCACCAGCTCTCCGTCATCCCCACCCGCAGCTGGGCCTTCACCTACCACGGCCTCTCGTCGGCGCTCCTCCTCGGCATCCTCGGCGAGACCAAGAACAGTCCCGAGGTACGGCAGCTCCAGGGCGACCTCATCGCGGCGCTGTCTGCGACGGCCGCGAAGGAGGCCACCTCGCCGGCGGAGCACATCCCCAAGACGGACAAGGACATTGAGTTGTCTGGCCCGTTGTGGAGGGCTCTGACTGCACTGCGGAATATCTACGAGCACGGCACGATCATGGGCACGTCGCAGAAGAAGGACTCGGACTCGAGCGGGACGGGAAGCGGAGCCAGGACGCCGCTGCCGCCGATGCTCATGGGTCCGATGGGGGCAAACGGCAACGGCAACGGCGGTGTCAACAAGGCTTTCGGCATGGATCCCCACCAGGACGCCGCTCTGGCCATGGCGGAGATGCAGAATGGCACTACCATGGCGGAGTACAACCCCAAGTATGCTGCCCTTTTTTGTCTTGATGAGATAAATGCTAACAGGCTTAGCAGCATGACATACCCTCCCGTTATGGAGGGTCTTCCCAACATGGACCCGTCGACGTACATGTCGCCGATGGACCTGTACGAATCGATTTGGTGGGGTATGTCATCCTCTCGTTTCTCCTCCCACGATGTTTCCGTGAGCTGACAGCTGGGGCAGAATCACCCGACCCTTGGAACTCGGGCGTCGACACCATGAACTTTGATTTTGTAGCCCAACCACCACCGGGCCAACCTCAACAACAATTCTACTTTTAAAAGACAGAAACAAGCAGCTCTTCACCTGAGCGATAACCCATCAAAGGCAACAAGGAAGCTGGGGCGATCTCGGCACATCTGGCCTAATACTGAGTTGGAGACGGTCTGAAATCTTGGGGCGGGGGCGCTTTTTACGGTTGGATTGTACTACGAGGACGGTGCAGAAGGGGGGATTCTGGCGCTGCCGCTTCTGATTCGACTTCATTGGGAGGATGCGGAGGGGGGACTTTTGTTGATATGAAACCATCTGAAGGTGTATTTTAATCGACTGACGTGTCACGATTTGATGGAGGCGATTTTGATTTGATCGTGGGATGGCATAGTGCTTCTGGTGTTATGTTGGTGTACCGTGTAAGGTCCATAGTTGTCAATGTATTGGAACATTGGATCTTTGCCGATTTTGGTTGATGATTTTCGTGATTGGACTGGTGATAATTGCGGTACTTCCGAGGGATGTTGAGGATATGGACATAGTGGAAGGGGGCGATTCTGGTATGAGAGAAGTCGCAGAAGACTGAAACGCTATGGGGCAAACGACATAGGTAGCAATGAATCCAGTTTGTACATAAGAGTAAGTAAGCCTTCACGATGAGATAATGTATTTTTCTGCGCTAGAGCAATTACTTTTCGCGTGGGCATGAACCTTACTCTGTTTTACTGTCGTCGTCGTCGCTACCATTGTCGTTATTGTTGTTGTTATCGTTGTCGTCGTCTTTATCTTCATCGTCGTTATCGTTGTTGCTGTTATTATTTTCGTTGGTATCGTCGTCGTCGTTGCTATTCAAGGATGAAGGATATAGCCCCACGTAAATTCCATGAGAAAAAACAGGCGGCATCTTCATGAAGTTGGTTTCGAGCTACTCGAGATCAAGTTTCGAGTACCGCAACTGTCCCCTTTTCAGTGTACTAGTTAGCGACGAGGGAGACCGAGACTTGGTCCACCACCATGTCTGCCAGGACCATCCGAAACAGCGCTCCCCGCAAGGCAATCAAGTCGATTATGAGGGTCAAATTTAACTTGATTGCTATATCGCGATACTATTCTTGATTGCTTGCAATAAATTGCAAGTAATTGGCAAGTATCTCTATATAGGGGGCCCTTAGGGCCTTAGGGGGGGGGGGGGGGGAAAAGGGGGGC